TAATTATTAATTTGAGGGAAAAACATGAAGTAAAGTATCGTGAAGAATTGTCAAGCGTCTTACCAGACTTTCTGTTGAAATGATGCTTGTTTGAGGATCTTCTGCTCAAGCTTCAGTGTTTTTCTGAACTGTGGTCCATCTTATATATGTTCGAGTGACCTCCACCTGTGTGCTTGGTCCATCCCATCATCACGGGGAGATCGTATTACTGTGATGTCATTCATAAACAGATTGGAAGAAAATCACAAATGCTTGCCAGGGTTTTCAGGTTGTCAGCTTTGTCATTTTTATTTATTTGTTTGCACTATTTCTCCCCTGTGATTTCAGTAGAGTTTTGAAGCTGATGTTTTGTAGCTTGAGCCTTTGAGCTCTTTGTCTTTGGATTATGAGACACACACACACACACACACACACAATAGAGGACAGTGTGTCTCTCTAAAGCCCTGCATCTTTACTCTGTTTTGTTTGGGTGGATCTGACAATGGTTTTGGTCTAATTAAAGGATAATTTAATTTAAAATCATTTAAAAGTTTTAAATCAGAGTTTGATCTCAGGAAACTTAGATATATTTGTCTCTTTTTCCATGCAACTTTACTTATGGCATGCTGATCATTACATTTCAAACACTTGTGTTTAAGATAGAATAAGCTAACTGTTATAAAAGCTTTATTTTTTTAACTTCAGATGCTTTACTGGTGCAGTATGACAAACTTTAGGTGGGAATTGTCACCCTTTCAGTATAAGTATCTCAATCCAAATCTCTGAGCTGCGGTGTAAGGGTTATTTGAGTGTATTCAAATGGTGCACAAATACTGTGGGGGAAAGGCTTGCTTTGACCTTTTTCCTGTTGTTTTCCAGCATGTAAATAGGACAAATTCCACGTGGCACAGGACAAACAGTAAACGTGATAAAAGAATAAACAATTTTGTAAGCACAATTTCAATTATTATTTCTCATATTTTTTTGTGAATATGCAATCACCTCCTTTTAAAATGTTATTTTATTATATAAACACAGAATTGATTTAATTGCACCTGATGACTGTGTTATTCAGCTCTGATCTGAGCGGGGTTGCCAGTTCTCCATAACAACACCAGCCCAATAACCAATCAAATACAGCCCAATGCGGGTTTCCCTGTCAGGGGCCGAATTCATTGCCGAAATTGTATGTATCCACGGGAATAAAAATAAACCTGCGGCAACAATTTAAAAGTAGTCCGTGGACTTGGCAACACTGGACTTGAGAATGATCCAAGTCAAGGCACCTTGATTTATAGAGCGCTTTTTACAATACAGATTCAGTTTCAAAGCAGCTTTACAGAGATAACAGGAAAATAATGCAACCAAGTTTGTTTCTAGAAGAAAATAGCGTCATAGTCCAGCTTAAGTAAGTTCAGTGATGGTTCATTTTTGTTGTAAAAAAGTTATTAATTTATATACTTGTTGGGAAGAACAAGTACACTGCCGATTTTGCAGGTTTTACCACTTACAAAGCATGTAGAAGTCTGTAATTTTTATCATAGGTACTCTTCAACTGGAATCTAAAACAAAAATCCAGAAAATCACATTGTATGATTTTTTAAGTAATTCATTTGCATTTTATTGCATGACATAAGTATTTGATACATCAGAAAAGCAGACCTTAATATTTGGTACAGAAACCTTTGTTTGCAATTACAGAGATCATATGTTTCCTGTAGTTCTTGACCAGGTTTGCACACACTGCATGGATTTTGGCCCACTCCTCCATAAAGTCCTTCTCCAGATCCTTCAGCTTTCGGGGCTGTCGCTGGGCAAAACAGACTTTCAGCTCCCTCCAAAGATTTCCTATTGGGTTCAGGTCTGAAGACTGGCTAGGCCACTCCAGGACCTTGAGATGCTTCTTACGAAGCCACTCCTTAATTGCCCTGGTTGTGTATTTCAGGTAGTCGTCATGCTGGAAGACCCAGCCTCGACCCATCTTCAATGCTCTTACTGGGGGAAGGAGGTTGTTGGCCAAGATCTCACGATACATGGCCCCATCCATCCTCCCCTCAATACGGTGCAGTCGTCCTGTCCCCTTTGCAGAAAAGCATCCCCAAAGAATGATGTTTCCACCTCCATGCTTCACGGTTGGGATGGTGTTCTTGGGGTTGTACTCATCCTTCTTCCTCCAAACACGACGAGTGGAGTTTAGACTTTTTGGTCTCTATTTTTATCTCATCAGACCCCATGACTTTCTCCAATTCCTCCTCTGGATCATCCAGATGGTCATTGGCAAACTTAAGATGGGCCTGGACATGCGCTGGCTTGAGCAGGGGGACCTTGCGTGCGCTGCAGGATTTTAATCCATGACGGTGTAGTGTGTTACTAATGGTTTTCTTTGAGACTGTGGTCCCAGCTCTCTTCAGGTCATTGACCAGGTCCTGCGGTGTAGTTCTGGGCTGATCCCTCACCTTCCTCATGATCATTGATGCCCCGCGAGGTGAGATCTTGCATGGAGTCCCAGATCGAGGGAGATTGACCGTCATCTTGAACTTCTTCCATTTTCTAATGATTGCGCCTTCTCACCAAGCTGCTTGCCTATTGTCCTGTAGCCCATCCCAGCCTTGTGCAGGTCTACAATTTTATCCCTGATGTCCATACACAGCTCTCTGGTCTTGGCCATTGTGGAGAGGCTGGAGTCTGTTTGATTGAGTGTGTGGACAGGTGTCTTTTATACAGGTAACGGGTTCAAACAGGTGCAGTTAATACAGGTACTGAGTGGAGAACAGGAGGGCTTCTTAAAGAGAAACTAACAGGTCTGTGAGAGCCCGAATTCTTACTGGTTGGTAGGTGATCAAATACTTATGTCATGCAATAAAATCCAAATGAATTACTTAAAAATCATACAATGTGATTTTCTGGATTTTTGTTTTAGATTCCGTCACTCACAGTTGAAGAGTACCTATTAGGGGTGTAACGGTACACAAATATCACGGTTCGGTACGTACCTCGGTTTTAAAGTCACGGTTCGGTACGTTTTCGATACAGCAAAAAGAAAGAAATGCCAGAGAAATTTCTTATTTGTTAAAAGAAAAAAAATATTTTTAAATAACTGAGTTTTCCTACATCTTGAAACTTTCAGGTTTATAAATGGGGGTCATCTTTGAAGGATGAACAAAAAATGTTTTGGTCATCACATTAAAAATAACATTTAAATATATATATATATATATATATATATATATATATATATATTTATTTATTTATTATTTGAGTTTTGAAGAGCTGGAAAAAGATGTGTGAAGTACTTGAAAGCAGTTCACTATTCCAGCCAAACTGGTTACAGTTAGTGTTAGCCTACTATATTAAATCCATGGTGAATGTTGCTGGTCTGTGGACGTAAAGTATTACTAGTTCATTCACGGCGCAATATTTCTCCTGGTTTCCACGTCAGCGCTGTTTGATCTAATAGCGATCTACGGTTAATAACGGAGAAATGTGAATGCTTCTCACTAGATCTCGCAGTGCTGTTATTACTTCAGTGGCGAATTAAAATGTTTTCTTTACTGGATCTCTTAGCGCTATGTTGTAACAGTGTCGCTTGATCGAGATCGGCTCGCGCTGCACAGATGCTGCTGGTCAAACGATCCGTGAAGCACAATATAATGAGTAGCGCAGTTTCGTTCCGCTTTCATTACGTTTGCCATTTGATGTTGCGCAACGTTGTGGTGATCGCGCCAGCGCGAATTTTGTCGGCAAGAAAAATGGTCCAAGGAATCGTTCGGTTTGTATGCGTACCGAACCGGAAGCCTCGAACCGAAACGGTTCAATACGAATACATGTACCGTTACACCCCTAGTACCTATGGTCAAAAATCACAGACTTCTACATGCTTTGTAAGTGGGAAAACCTGCAAAATCGGCAGTGTATCAAATACTTGTTCTCCCCACTGTATACAGCCTCTCTGGAGAAAACCGTGATGTCATCGTCCAGCTCAGTTCTCATATAATGGTGTCAATGCAGGCAGATCAATAATATTGTTGAATATTAAATGTCCCCAACTAAGCAAGCCAAAAGCCAAAGGCGACAGTGGCAAGGAACCAAAACTCACTCAGGTGACAGAATGGAGAAAAAACCTTGGGAGAACCCAGGCTGAGTTGGGGGCCAGTTCTCCTCTGGCCAATGAATGAACAGTGTATGATTATGATTTAGGCAGCATTATGGGTCAGATTTCAGGGCTCGACAATAAGGACTGCCCGATGGCCTGACAGACTGACTTTGACCTGTAATGCTGCCTGAATCCAAAGAGCATACTGTGTACAAAGCAGTTAACATGATCAATGCCACAATTTGCTTATGTAATCTAATATGTCTCTGCTAATGGGAGGAACGGGCGTTGCACAATGGATTTGGTTAAATAGAGTTTATTTTTTATTGTGAGTCATTATGAAGCTTGAGGCAGGTGCTCAGACATAGTGGGAAAATCAGACACAAGAACATAAAACTGAGGCTACACAAAAATAAATGTTTTGCGCCCTCCAAAAAATGAATAAAACATCTACTAACATTTTTGGGGGGATTTAAATGCTGTAAAAATAATAGAGAAAGATGGTGTAGTTACGACGTCTACCAGTTAACTAAACCATGCAAAAACCAACTAAATCCTGACTTCTTGAATGGTATACACTTGCTTCGTGATGAACAAAACGTTTGTGTAAAACGCCAATGAGAAATTTGAAAGGCTTTCAACCTTTCACTCATGCAAACTTTGATTTTTTGATGTTTTATTGTGAAGACAGACTTAGACAAGGAACTCTTTTATGAATATTGTTTTATTTGCATTCTGAGGTATGCTATTGTACATGTAGAAGCAATGATCAACATAATTGTGGCTATTTTGAGAACATTTTCCAAGCGCATTTTGACAAGGAAGAGTGAAATACAGGACAACACATGTAGAGATCTGAGAACATAATGTGTATGTACAGTATGTGAACAGTAGTTCCTCTGTGAAAGACTTTCAACAAATGTTGTCATGGTTGCAACCATCAAGTGTTGGGTTTATTACAGTAATGCATCAGGATGAAGCTGGACAGAAGAAACACTGAATGTGTTAGACACACTCAGCAAAGTACTGCAACGGGTTGACATTGCGGCACTCCTTCACGCACAACATGTGCTTCCTGAAAGACAATAAACACAAACTTGTAAAACAAGCTTTACATCTTGTATGCATTATTGCTGTAGCTTATCTTAATGTTGTAGATGCTACTGTTAACACAGGAGCATCCAGTTTATGTCATTTACATAAGCAATTGCCTTCTAACATATGTGACTAACAATTGACTCCAGATCAGTTTGACTTTATCATGTTGCTTAATGAGATACTCTTATAAATATTAGAAAACCATATAGCAAAAATGCATATTTTCAGATATGTTTTTATGTTTTTATATTTCAAGACCAAAAGGTCCAAATATATTGCTAATATTGATGAAAATATATATGTTTTAGGTACTTATATTTCATCATATATTTATTTATTTTGCCCAGAATATATAAAAAAAAAATGTTGCATTTACCCAAAATGTATATTTTGTACATGCGCATGCACACACACACACACACACACACACACACACACACACACACACACACACACACACACACACACACACACACACAAACACACACACACACACACACACACACACACACACACGATATTTAAGCTAAATGTGTTTTTATTCCCCTAAACCTTCTAAGCTTTCAGGTATTGAATAAAATCTAAATATATTTATAATCAGTATTTCTCTTGACTCGTGCAATCTTTCAGTTGTTTGACTTACTTCTTCTTGGGCCGAGGAGCGAAGACTGGAGCAGCGCTGTAAGAAAACAGGACCAGGAATATTACTACATATGCTTCTAAGAATATGCTTCTATTACTTGTTAAATTATTTAGATGTTGGGTAATCGTGAAAAAAAAAAACATTTTAGTTTTATTTTATTTTAGTTATATTAGAATGTTCCACAATGAAAACATTTGGCGATTTTCAATTAAAACGCATTGCTATTCAAAATCATTTTGCAGATTTGAAGCAACAGCGACCATTGGCAATGCTCTAAAATTGAGCTAAGTCATGCAAATGAGTGGTGACTACTAATGGGAGCCTAGACTGTGATCATGTGATTAGCGAGACCCTGCAACTGTTATAATTGACTACTGATTTGTAGATGTGAGAGGTTGACAACTTACGCATTGGTCGCGCTGTCCAACAGGGTCTTCAGGCAGGTGATGTCATCCCTGATGTCATCATCAATCAGAGCTTTAGAAGACAAAATTTACCAGACGTCATTCAAAGTTGATCTACAATGATTGTGAAATTGTGATGAACCTGGGCTATTGTGTATATTGGGTCAACCAACACAAGCTGACAGCAATTCATAACTATTTTAGGTTTTGGTGTATTGTTTGTATTGTATGAATTCGTACAATCACACTCTTACATTTTTCTACAATCCGCCTACGCCCCAGTTAGGTTTAGGGTGGAGCGTCACGCTCACCTTTGTCTAAAAATGTTGTACACTTGTACAAATCACATTGTACAACTGTACATACAAGATTGAATCTAATTGGTTTCAATTACATTTGTGACCAGTCACATGAGACGTCACTCAAACTTGACATACTGAAATTGTGATGAAACTATAGGCTAGCCGCTTTTCCACCATTGGGCCGAACGGTAAGGAAAGGTTCCAGTTATATTTCCACTTGAGCTTGTTTACAAACTGTTCTCGACCCGGAATTCTCATTCCGGAATGATAGAATGGATGACATCAGAAACACCAGCGATTTCAAACCGAGTTTTTGAGACTGTCTTTGGTTCACTGCAGTTTTAAGAAGAAAATACTCAGCAATGCTGTCGACTTATGAATTTGCACATGGTTTGTCTTAAAGCATATTAAAAACACCACATAGACATGTAAACAACATTAAAAACTTGATTTTCACCACAGGGGGACTTTTAAAAAAAAGTACTCGTTTTCGTTCAAATCATGTGCGAATTCACACAAAATCGCTACCTTGTAAAATAGTTACGTTGTCTCATGCGAAATAATGTATCATGTGACTCACCACTGCAGTTCATGCGGCAGATGTTCAGACTCTGTCCGGATCCGGAATCGCACGCCACGCGATCGCTCAGCTGGAAGATCCCAAACAGTTTTGTGGCAACTCCTGAGTTTTCGCTGGAATCCTCTTCTGAACTGTCTCCAAACATGCTAGGTGGATTCCTGTCCCGCCCCCCACCAGGAGATCTCTTTCCTCTTCCACCGGGACGGCCCTGACCAGGTCTTCCCCCTGGTCTTTCATTGGGTCGTTGTGCTGGTCTGGGACGGGAATCTGCTGGAGATCCGATGGCGGTGACCAGGTTGGTGTTGAACTTTGACACACGTTCAACAGAACAGACGACTGAAAGAAAGACAGAAACGCCCTTTGCTTACATTTGTACCATTGCTAGAATTCAACTCGTAGTGTTTACTCTCATAAACTTACTTTTGGCGATGAGGCCCAAGTCTACAGTTGCATTTCCAGGCGCAGTCCCATTTCCAGGCAAACTTCCAGTCCCATTTCCAACAACACCTCCGGTCACGTTTCCAACCCCAGAAGTGACATTTCCAGGCCCACTTCCTCCCTGATTTCCTCCCAGACCCGCCTCGAGCTGAGCCTTCAGCTCACATTTACTGAGAATCCGTCCCTCAGTCGCACTGGACACCAGCAGAACCAGAGCCAACGCCGCCAACATCTTCACTGGGAGAACGCTCTTCATCTCTGATATCTGGAGGTTAAACGCAGAACAATGAATACGTCCAAAGAAACAATCCCAATCTGCAGTTTAACTTAGTCTACTCTCTTCAAACTCTGTCAATCAAATGCTCGCAATGAAGGAACCTAACAATCAGAAAAAATGTGCCAAGATTGTACCCTTAGGTTGTCAGCACTGGGGCAGTATCCTCAAAGGTACATCTTTGTACCTTATTTACTCCTAAAAGATTAGTACCTTAATAGCACATATTACTACTTAAAGGTATAATGCATACTGTATTATTTAGGGGTAGATAAGGTACCGTTTTTGCCATTTTTCTGACAATGTTTCAAGCTTGGTTGGTCAATGTTTTGGCTATTTAAATATTGTTTTTCTAATAATTCTGCTCTTTAGCAAGGCAACGGGTTGGTCTAGACTAGAGGGACGCTCATGCAACTAAACACTTTGCATTAAATCTTCTACAACCAAATTGGCTTATTATTACTGTTGCATATTTTAACATAGTTATAAAACATGAAGCATTTTTAAATGAGAGCAATATTTGCTGGTAAAGCATTTTATTGTAAAGAGAGTTCAGAAGTGATTTTTACCGGAGAGGTTATTGTCTGTTGTAGATGTAGATCTAGTCTTCACTCTTGCTTCAGTCTGGTGTTTGATTCCACCGTCCGCTCCGCTGTGTACTGAATGCATGAGTGTGGGGATTTTTATACTAAACTGACGTGATGAGCTCACTGCTTCGAGAACTCACTAAACCTGTTGAAAAACCACTACACCACTTGGATTCCAAACACAAATGGCATGATTGCTTCATAATTTAGAAATCCAGCGTGTGATGTAACATTGCACTCAGGTGGAGGTGAGTCAGGTTTTGCCTCGTCACTTTTTCCTCTCACCATTTCAACCATTGTTAAACTGTGACCATGTGATTAGGAGGTCTTTGTTGTGCTATATACAGTACACACATGTTCCTTCAGCCTTTGACCAGCGGCCTTGCAAATAAATAAGCAATTTTTACTTTTTAATTTAAAAAAGGCAATCATTGAACCCAATAAATCACATTTTAATTATTCAGGTCCCATAATTTAATATACTTAATTTTAATGGATTTATATTAAGTTTATTTTGGTAGCATCACTCAGTTTTGGTGTGCTGTACAATCATTTGAATCACAGAAATTAACCCGTGACACTTCTCTTGCATTGCATGTTTTTTGCGATGATATTAAAAATGTTTCAGCGTTAAATCTTGGTTGAATATCAATGCAAAATTTTTATTTTATTTATTTATTTTATTTATATATATATTTATTTTTTATTTTTATTTTATGGCTTAAAATAACTTAAATTTAACTTAAACTTAACACGTTATTCACAGTCCATATTTTTGTACTTCACAAGACAGAAATCTGTATAAATAAAAAAAACTGAATTTATTTAATTATTTTAAATAACAAAAAGTATAAACATAATAAAATACTGATAAAGATGCTATCCAAAAGAAACGTAGGCAAAAATGCTTTTATGATTATACACTCTTAAATATGATGTCAGAAAAATGACAAGCCACAGCATAAATTCATTTATATTTTCTAATTTTACTAAAATGAATTGTAGTGGTAATGAACTGGGAAAGTCCAGACATGTATGGTGGGTGGACTGGTATCACACACACACACACACACACACACACACACACACACACCTGTGGTTGGATTACTATTATGTAATTTCAGCTGGACTGCCACATAGTTTCGGCAGTAATTAATAACTGAACAGATGCATCTTGTGTTGTTACAGAGCAGTTTTGTCTGAAGTTTTCAAATACACAATACTATGATTAATTTCTCTGAAAAGACTGTCAATCTTTGTTCAGTTGTGTGAAATGCATGTGCTGACTATGTACAGTAAATGTCCCAAAAATATATTTTTGAAGTGAAAAGTATTTTAAACTGTGTACAAAGTGGCCCAAAAAAAGTGTCTGGACCCTTAAATGATGAACCCCTAACTTCACTGCATTAGATACAAAATATCTCAGCCACTTGCTCTGTTATTTTTAACCAGCTGGTCTGAGCTCATTTTTTTGTGAATGCATAAAGGCCATCATATTAGCATATAAATGTTTAACAAAACTTATATATATTGTACAACATTTTTGTTTTATATTTTGAGATTTTACAAACTTTTTTACATTGAAAATTGTTCTTGTGTTATATTTCTTTTAAAAACACCACTTGTTTTTAATGCATATGTGTGTGTGTGTGTGTGTGTGTATATATATATACACGTACTTGTGTGATCACTCAGAATGCGAGTATCCTAGCAAACACAGTAGGTTATGTTTTTTCTTAAGTGAACATATAGAGTTGAGAAAGTAAACGCATGTGTACAGTATCAGTATATTAGATCCGTGCATTCGCTCTTAAAGTGTTTTTTTATGAGTTTTTGTGTTTTTAATTTTAACCAAACGACAAAAGACAAGAAAATCACTCACTGCTCTTGACTGAATATCTTTTGTAACTTTAATATTGATTATGTTTATACAGTTTAGATATCCAATGTTGTTTTACGTACTTTATTTAATTTCTGTACCTGAAAACTACTGTTAGACACCTAAATAACCTGAAAAGCACTGTTTATTTCATTTGTATCTTTGCTCTATTATTTATTTGTGCTGTTGCTTGTAGTTTGATTATTTTTATTTGACAGTAGTACTTTTTACCCTGAAAATAGCACATACCGAACCGTACCGAAACCGTGACCCTAAACCGTGATTAACCGAACCGTGAATAATTTTAACCTTTATATATATATATACACTCTAAAAAATGCTGGGTTGTTTCAATCCATCTTTGGGTCAAATATGGACAAACTCAGCCATTTGGTTAAATGTTTCAATTACATTTTTAACCCAACATTTGGGTCTGTCCACATTTGACCCAAAATTGGGTTAAAACAACCTTTTTTCCTTCAAAAACATGCTTGTGCTTCTTTAAAATAAATGTCACTTTTATCTAATACATTGACATTCCCACATTTTGAGTGACTTAAGTGTCCAAATACTTTTGCATCCACTTTATATTCAGTTGGATCAGTTATTAAATTGCTTAAATATATTTAATTATGCAGAAATGATCCAGGTTCAGCATCACGCACACCCTCATCGCACCATATCTGGTGAGAGGACAACGAACGATGAACCTACAGTTGAGGACCATGATCACGAGTTACGACGCAAGTATTGAATATCAGAGAAGACCGGAGCCGTTTGACAATAGTCTGAAACCGATAAACCTGAATTGTTCAGTGTCTCTATAGCGAGGGATCATTTTACAGGAAGTGAAGAGAAGTCAGAAGAGTTTGAGCTATTTTTGATGTGAACACAAGATGAATGTCAGCATGACTCAGACATTTAGATGTTGACACACACATGCCAACAAGGACGTCAGTCTCTCACTGCTGTGATTATCTGATATCTAACAGTTAAATATGATTAGATATATTTCCCACACAATGTCCTTTGTCAAATGCAGGTGGAGATTATTGCTCACCTGTTAGTCCTCATTTGTTTGATCATCTAATGAATTGCATTGGTATATTTAAATATTTACATAGTTACTGTATTGAACCAATGTATGATTGAGATTATGCCATTCTAATGTCATACTTTGAAGTAAGTCTAAACAAACAACAGCACGGATCAGTCACCTTGACGTAATCACACAAATCTTCACAAAACCAAAGTCTTTTATATCATCCAAAGTTTTATTCTATCATACTGTGTCACTCTAAAAAATGCTGGGTTGTTTTAACCCAATTTTGGGTCAAATATGGACAATGTGGTTGGGTTTGTCCATATTTGACCCAAAATTGGGTTAAAACAACCCAGCATTTACTTTCACTGTTTTAAGGCTGATCATTGAAGACGTGCATCTTTGTGGCTTTCAGGTTCTGGTTGCGTGCCAGTGGGAAACGTCTTAAACGCATGTTTTACATGACGGCTCTGACAGATCTGCTGTGTCATTGCATGTGTGATCAAATTCCACCAGGAAGATTGTTTCCTCAATCGAAAGGTTTTGATTATGGTTTTGATAGCAGCTTCATGTGTATTGCGTCAGATAGAGGTGCTGCTGATCATCTCTGTGTGTCTCCAGTGGGGCTGGATGTGAACTCAGCGTGAACTTCTGGACATCAGTGCCTGTGTAAAAACAGCACAAAACATCACCATAAAGCTCACAGACTGCCCTTTATAATGGCATGTTTAGAGTCGTTTTGTCATGTCATCCGCTCTAAGAAGCTAAAATTCTTAAATTCTAAAATTCTTATGTTTCAGAGCATTTCATGCGTTATGCGTGCATTGTTGGCTTGTCATGTTGATGGAGATCGGCACACTTGCAGGTAGAGTGATTTTATGGCATGTGTGTTTCATTAGCATAACCATCTCTCTATCAGTGTCTGTGAAAACAAACAATTTGTTAAAGAAATAATTCATCCTAAAAATAACATACCATTATTTACCCACCATCATGTTTTCCAAATATATGCTTATTATGCTACTATTTTATTCTATGGTACACAAACGGAGAGTTTTCCTTAAAGCTGTTCATAGTGACTACAGGCTTTTGTATTCGTTTTTTGTTGTTGTAAATATGTCTATTTATTTTTGGTTGTTTTAGAGTTATTTTATTACATCAGGTTAAACCTAAAAAAGAAAAATGTAGCCTTGGCAACGATCTGAAATAAAATAAGTTTTTAGTGTTTTAGTTTATTTCAGTTAACATGCATTTTATTTATGTAAAGTAAATGTTTGTTATGTTTAGTTGTAGTTAACTAGAATAACCCTGTTTCAAATTGTTGAAATTCTTCAAAATTCTTCCATCATGTTCCTCAAAGAGGAGGAACGACATATAGCGCCTTTTCCAGCTGATGAACGGTAATAAACAATATACCAACCAATCAGAATCCAGCTAACTTTAAAGTGCGCGCTGCTGTCACAGAACGTTTTTGTCTGTTCGTGTGGACGCTAATATAGTTATCGCGCTACCATGTGAACGGGCCTTTGTAACGCAATGAATAATCTGTACATCTACCGCCGTTACTAATAAAAATCATCCGTTTGAAACCGGTTACGCTATATGACCGATTGACTGTTTTGATGTGGTGATGAAGTCATTACTTTACGGAAGCCCTGAACCGCAACGTAAAAAAAAAAATCTGTAAAAAAAAATCTAGCATTTCGAGATTAAAGTCGAAATATTTCGAGATTAAAGTTGAAATATTTCGAGATTAAAGTCTAAACATTTTGAGATTAAAGTCTAAAAATTTCGAGATTAAAGTCGAAACATTTCGAGATTAAATTCGAAACATTTCGAGATTCAAGTCTAAACATTTCGAGATTAAAGTCGAAATATTTCGAGATTAAAGTCTAAAAATTTCGAGATTAAAGTCTAAAAATTTCGAGATTAAAGTCGAAACATTTAGAGATTAAAGTCTAAAAATTTCTAGAATAAAGTCAAAACATTTCGAGATTAAAGTCTAAAAATTTCTAGATTAAAGTCTAAAAATTAGATATTAAAGTCGAAATATTTCGAGATTAAAGTCGAAACATTTCTAGAATTAAAGTCGAAATATTTCGAGATTAAAGTCGAAATATTTCGAGATTAAAGTCCAAATATTTCGGGATTAAAGTCTAAAAATTTCTAGATTAAAGTATTAAAGTCTAAAAATTTCTAGATTAAATTCTAAACATTTCAATATTAA